AATGCCCCCTATTTTACTAATTAAGCTTTTTAACACTAACAGAATAAAGATAAAACAGAGAGATTAAGAGTTACTGTTTCAAGTTCAGAGGCAATTAATTTGCATTTCTATTCAGTAAGAATGCAGGTAGTAGGAGAACATGTAGAATGACACACTTGGGAGTTTAAGAGAAATAGACAAATTTATTCATAATCACAGATGTTAAAATTGGAAAACAAATTGACGGTAACATATATGGGAGCAGTCAGTGGCTAGAATTGAGCATAGTCAGTATGTCAGACAATTCATTGCTTGTACCCTATTCGTAAGCAAGTGTGCTACAAGAGTCTCCCCAGATGTGGAAATAGCATTCAAAATCTGGACCAACTTAAGAGTTTAACAGTTATCAAAGAGATATCAAAATTGAAAAAGAATGCTTAAAAGAAAACCCATCTTCCAGGGCCGGCTTTAAACACCAGAATGGATCTGGAGGAATGACTTCTGATTACAACATACAGTCAATGGAGAAATTACAACAAAGGAAGAAAGTTCAGGAAAATTGTCTTCAAAAGTAATTGTTGTTTGGATTCAAGACACAGCATATTATAAGTTGGGATTCAACCACTCTACAATGAGCACAATAAAGTCAGAGGGCACAAAATCTTTCCAATTGCAAGTTTCCAATGCAGTGGAATCAAAATAGTAATAGCATTGGTTATGGAAGGCACAGTGTGACAGACAAGGCGACATTGATGAAAGAATATCTGATGATGAACTACCAACTAAAGCATAGATAAAACGAATTGATAGATTAAGTAATTGCTCGTGAATTGTTCAGTCCAAAAACAAGATAGTAGAACCTTGTCAACAGCCTTAAAGTTATTAAATTGGGAAATTTGTACTTGTTTATTGCTAAAGATTAAGAGCACATCTATATGGGCATACAAGATTCAATGCTTTTACTGGTTTCTAGTCTAATCCTTACAAATGTGTTACTTTTCTTCACAATCAGCATTATTAATTCTAATTCAAAAAGTATTGACTTGCTTGAAGCTGTAACATCTTGCAGCCAGTTATGCCAGAAATAAATTTTCAAAAAATCTTTGTGTATTGGCATCTAGACACAATTGCTTGACATGAGTGTTTGATTGGTGTGTGTGAAATCGGTTCAAACACTATACATTGTGTTTACTTGTTTATTTGCATCCTACTGGACAATCTTCAAAATACTACGATGAAAATAGCTTTCAGCATGGGACAATTGTATCTTGAGGATTTGCATTTTCTTTGATTTTTGTAATTAGGATGTTGGATTTGTACCAGCTCATCATGAACACAATACTGAAGCTAGATCACTTATCAAAATGAAAATCCAAGAAAATACACCATGATTTTGGTACAAGGTCCGAGGTTCAATAATTAGAATATAATGCAACACTTTTCTTTCCTGTTCCTAATTACAGGCAAGCTAAAAGTAATTGTAAAAATCTGGCTTTCTTGCTTCATTCTCAAGAAGAACTGATAGCCACATTTTCCTAAAGGTCAATCTTTCCCAAGTTCAATATATGCGATACTTTTTCCTCAAATTATAGATTAATACAGCACAGAAGGCCACTTGGCACATTGTGCCTATACCAACTTTCTGATAAAAGCAATTCAGTCAGTTCCACTCTGCTATAGATATTGCAGCTATATGTCATTTTAAATGCAAGTGCTACGAATCAAAATTAATGATTGTGTAAAACATGGAACTAAGGGATCACGTAAGCTCTCACAGAAAAGGTTTACAAAGATGTTGCTGGGATTGGAGGGTTTGAGAGGCTGAATAGGCTGGGGCTTTTTCCTCTGGAGCATCAGAGACTGAGAAGTAACCTTAGAGGTTTGTAAAATCATGAGGGGCATGGATAGGGTGAACAGTCACTGTCTTTTTCCCAGGGTAGAGGAGTCCAAAACTCGAGCACGTAGGTTTAAGGTGAGAGAGGAAAGGTTTGAAAGAGAACTGAGGGCAACTTTTCCATGCAGAGGGTGGTGTATGTATGGAATGAGCTGCTGGAGGAGGTGGTAAAGACGGTAAATTATAACATTTAAAAGGCATCTGGATGGATACGAATTGGGAGGGTTTAGAGGGATCTGGGCCAAATGCTGGCAAATATCACATGGGATTCAGGATGAGCTTGCCAATTGGATACATAATTGGCTTAACAGCAGGAGACAGGGTGTAGTGGTGGAGGATTGCTTTTCGGACTGGAGGCCTGTCACCAGCAGTGTTCCACAGGGATCGGTTCTGGGTCCTCTTTTGTTTGTCATTTATATAAATGATTTGGATGAGAAAATAGAAGGCATGGTTAGTAAGTTTGCAGACGACACCAAAATTGGTGGCATAGTAGACAGTGAAGAAGGTTTTCTAAGATTACAAAGGGATCTGGATCAAATGGGTCAATGGGTTGAAAAATGGCAGATGGAGTTCTATCTGGATAAATGCAAGGTATTGCATTTAGGTATAACAAACAAAGGTAGGGTTTTTACAATTAATGGCAGGGCCTTAGGTAGTGTTGTAGAACATAGGGACCTAGGAGTGCAGGTACATAATTCTTTGAAGTTTGCATCACATATAGACAGGGTGGTTAAAAAGGCGTTTTGCAGGTTTGCCTCCATTGCTCAGACCATTGAGTATAGGAGTTGGAAAGTCATGTTGAGGTTGTACAGGAAATTGGTGAGGTCTCTTCTGGAGTACTGTGTCCAGTTCTGGTCACCCAGTTACAGGAAGGATTTTTTAAGCTGGAGAGGCTTAAGAAATTTACCAGGATGTTGCGGGGTATGGAAGGTTTGAGTTATAAAGAAAGGATAGATAGGCTGGGACATCTTCCACTGGAGCGTAGCAGGTTTAGAAGTGATTTTACAGCTGTCTTTCCCCAGGATGGGGATTTCAAGACTAGGGAGCACATTTTTAAGGTGAGAGGAAAGAGAGTTAAAAGAGACATGAGGGGCAATTTTTATTTTTAACACAGAGGGTAGTTCGCATGTGGAATGAACTTCCTGAAGATATGGTGGATGTGGGGACAATTACAACATTTAAAAAGAAGTTTGGATAAGTACATGAATAGGAAAGGTTTGCAGTGATATGGGCCAGGAGCAGGCTGGCGGAACTGGTTTAGATTGGGATTATGTTCAGCATGGACTGGTTGGACCGAAGGCTCTGTTTCCGTGTTGCATGACTGTGACTCTAACTAATTGGGACCAGATCAGTTTAGGATATCTGGTCAGTGCGGATGAAATGGATTGAAGGGTCTGTTTCCGTACTATGTAACTCTGCAAAACTGAAGTCTAATACCCAGAATAAATAACTTAAAATTTGTCTCAACAAGTTCACCTGGTTTTACCTGGACAAGGTCAATACCGTGGGTAAATTCATAAAATTCAGTGTGGGGTTTGTTTCACAAAGACTTTGCATTTAAATTAGACCCGAATTTGGTTGTAGCTCGACTTCTTCCTGTTTCTCCAAAAATCCCCACCTACATTATTCCTTGTAAAAATTTAGGAATTTGCCAGGCACCAAATGTGGAGCCACTAGGAAATAAGAGCTCATATCCTTTTCTTAAAAAAAATATTAACAGGCTCCTTTAACACAAGATTTACATGCACAGGTGTGTTGTTGCAAATTGTTTTTAGTGGAAATTGAGCACATTTCTAGATATACAATGTCAGGTGTAGAGGTAATGGAACAACAATTAGTCTTTCACTGCATGACAATAAAATCAGCTACAGATGATACAGGCACAAGTCAAATTTTAAACAATATTTAATACAAAAAATAATAAACTTTAACCATTAAAAAAGCAGTCCATGATTTGAGATAGTCAGGTTCCCATAGTTAGCAACAGGCTACAATTCCAGAGATAGTAGGAACTGCAGATGCTGGAAAATCTGAGATGACAAGGTGTAGAGCTGGATGAACACA